TTGTCCAGAGCGCGGAAGAGATGGTAGTCGGTTGGCGCCAGATCTGGGCTATAGGAATCCCTTCCAGATTGAAAGTCGTAAAGAAGGCACTGACGTTGGGCGGTCTTGAAGTCCATTTTGGAAGTCATGGTTATAGGCTTTGAACGACTAAGCAACTGCTGCGTAATCACGCCCACACACTCTTTATATACTGCTGCTGTGGAAGGTTCGAGAAAGTTCCAGAAATTTTTTTCATGGAAAATTCTCGAAACGGCCAGAACTTTCCGATCGACCCAATATTTTTGTTTACAGTGCATGATACCACAGACTCGTTCTGAATGGATTTCTCTTCGTTTCCCTCGAACAGAAACTCAGATATTTCCTATAATCTAGTCGATGGCGACCTGCAATTGAATGTGCCTATGTTGAATTGCGTGCTGCAACGAGCCGAGGGGCATGGTTTGCCGGCAATCGACGATTGCCTATATTCAACGCTTCGGGTTTTGCCTTGGTAGAAATTTTCTCGGAACGTACCCCTTACGAATTGATGAACAGGTTCTGCATTTGAGATATATTTGGGCTCAGGTAGCCACGCGAAAAGTTCACCAACGTCTGACTCTTCATCTTGCGGGAAGTGAACAATTGCCGGAGGCGTCACCATCCCGTTGAAACACGAAGCTTGGGCCTCATGTTTTGCGAACGTCTGGCAAAAGGTGCGAATAAATTTTCGCGAAAAGATTGAAGTTCTTTATTTTGCTTGGGTATGTTGCAAGAAAACTTTGACCGAGACAAAATTCAGAGCATTGAAGACTTGAATAAAATTGAATGGATCGTCGGCAGGCCATGTACAGGCCATGTCCATGCGATGTCCTAGCCATGCCCCTCTGCAATTTCACAGCGGTGTGCACAATCGCAAGGCACCATCGGATAGAAAGGAGAAAATATCGAGTATCTGCAATAAAGAGGAATTATATATCGCTCAGAACACTTTTGTTTGACAGCAGCTACTAATGGTCGTTATAATTACACATAAAGGTAGGGTGCTTCCTTCTTATGTGGGGCCACCCAGTAGTTGAGTCTACTCTTTGGCAGTAGAAGGTCCATCCGTGATCGAGAGCAATGGAATCGAATGGAACCGATGCCTTCCCTCTCCGTCGACGAAAGGTCGTCTGCATCTCGTCGACGTTTACTAACCTCTTCCAGGAGTTCCGGCTCCTTACCGCCGATCGTCGACGCGTTCCAAGTCCCGATATTCTAAGTCCGTCGACCGCTCTCTTCTGCTCCCGGTCTGCCTTCACGGCATCCCGTCGATCGTGTTCTATGGCGGGTGGCAATCCGTCCGATAGGTCTAGCACGTAGCACGACGGGGTCCGACGCACCCAGAAACATCGAACTGTTCTCCTTTCGCAAGCTTCAATTTTATGGCTTCTAGCCGGAAAGTCGTATACAGGGTGATCGAAACTTGATATTAGAACTTGGTGATCATCACTTGACAGTGAATTTTGGCCGTAAATAGTGCAGGTATATAAGGCATCTCGAACACTTTTTAAAAACTCACGATTTAAGTGTCTGAACGACGTAAGCGTATGCTTGTTGCTGCGAAGTAATACCATGCATTGCCGGGAACAAACATGGTCGATAGAGTCTATTTTGGTGTGAAAACTGGGTACGCTGCTTCGAATCCAAACCAAGAAATATAGCGGTATGACACTGACATTTTGAATAGTGATGTAAAGGATTGCAGTCGGGCGAATTCGGCAGCCGTTCTTCCCAGGAAACGAACTCCGCAACAACACTTTAGCATCTCTCGAGCTCCTTTCGTCGACGACTGAGGCCAGGCATTTTCTTCGTAGATGTCTCTGGGGAACAACTATCTCGTGCAGGATAGAAGCCCATTGGGATTCGCACATCATCTCTTACCGTCCATTTATGTCGTCTGCGGCTCGACAAGGAAGAGGAAGGTCTGGTCTTACCTGCGCGTTAGACTGCCCCATGATGCCCACACATACCATCAGTGGCGCGCTCAGATAATCCCAATTGATGGGGGGGGGGGGTTGACATGAAAAATTGGTAACCCACTCTGCATTTATGACCTAATTAATACGATCTTTTTAGAATCGGACCTGTAAATGTATCCCAACGTCATCCCTTGGTCATGATCCCCATAATCTCCTCCCCCCTTGGGCATGCCACTGCATACCATGATCTTGGAAAAAATGCTCTTCGCATGGTGGAGCCTTTTTGGGCTCACTCGGTTCCTCGTGCTCTCCCACGAACACGATCTTACTGCTCATCGATCGGCACATCCACGAGTCAGGTGTTTCGCATCGTAGAAGCCCATCGGTCTCTCGTCGTTTTCCGTAAGCCTCCCGTACCCGATGTACCCTGCTGCAGCACGCACGTCTCAAGTTTTCATCGACGTTCGCGAAAGGAGTCGCAAGACGCTCGAATCGATGCAATTCCCTTCTTTCTTCAGGCGTAGACCGAGATATCAAGATCACGGGCCAATCGACGGGCACAAATTCACCGCGATCGTTGCGGTCCGGTAGAGCCTGTTTCCTTCGCGATCTCGATTCTGTCACGTGGAGCTACGTCAGCGGATCGACGGATCGACTCTGCGTACTACCTCATGTTTTCTTCCGAATCGACTACGATTTCCCCGAAGCTCCGGTACCTCACCCGATCGATGAACCCAAACCCTCGCTTTATCATCTGCGCTAATCACCTCACCGAAGTCCCCACTTTTCCGGCTTGGGACCTAGAAGTAACGAAACGAAGGGGCGGAGTCGACTGTTCGCCAACCGAATCCGGTTTCATTCTGGTGACTTTCTCCCTTCACGCATTTAAAAATATTCATCACGGCAGACTCACGTCCTCACGTCCACGACTCGTGTCTATTTCCACCGTAGGTAGAACAGATAGGGAAAAAGTTAATATCTAGATGCACGTGAAAACGAGGGTACAAATGTCACGACGGTTACTGTCGCATTGTTTTGAAGGTTATTAGGAAAAATAATAAAGCAATTCGAGGAGCGAAATGCGACATCCCGCACTCGATCGGAGGGAGGAGGGGATTGCATCCAGAGGTAAAAGGTCAAGTACCATTTGCGAAGCCGGCTAGCGTTCGCCCAGACTTAGGTCACTCGATCCTCGTCCGTGCAAACACTTTCATTCTTTCTTTCCTTTTTACATGGAACTCTTTCTATCAGGTTGTGGAAAAAGTATTGTCGGTTTTTGGAGTGCCAACTTTGAAAGCTCATTGGACGTCGCTACTCTTGTTTCATACCGTGTGTTATATATCAAATTGTAGCCTGTTTTGTCGTGCATTACGTGCATGTAGCTTTATTTTCATTATATTTGAAATGCGTTGTCTTTCTCCACTCGGAGTGAAAATGGTATCGGAGTAAATTCGGGTGTGCCTTTTGTACGAGTTCAAGCTAGGCCATAACGCGGCTTTGGCTTCCCGCAACATCATCCAAGCATGGGGCAAGGACTCCATCACGGAACGCGATGCCCAGTGCTGGTTTCAAAGGTTCCGTTCGGGTGACACAAGCCTTAAAGATGAACCCCGCTCTGGCCGTCCATCCATCGTCGACAACGACGTCTTCAAGTCGCTGATCGAGTCGGACCTCTGCCAGACAGTGCGAGAACTCGCAACGATCCTCGACGTTGACGCCAAGACCGTTTCCAACCATCTGCGGGACATCGGAAAGGTCCGCAAGCTCGAGAAGCGGGTCCCCCACGAATTGAGCGAAAAGAACAAAAATCAACGTCGCGCGATCTGCACTTCGCTGCTTCTCCGGAACAAGCATGAGCCGTTCCTCGACCGAATCGTGACGTGCGATGAGAAATGGTTCATGTACGACAATTCTACGAATTACAATACGACCGGAACAAGCATGGGTGGACCGCGATGACCCGCCAGCAAAGGTGCCGAAACGCGACCTCCACCCAAGGAAGGTCATGGTTACCGTTTGGTGGTCTATGGCTGGCGTCATCCACTACGACTTTCTCAAACCTGGTGACACTATCACTGCCGAGGTCTACTGTCGCCAACTTGACATCGTCGACGAAAAATTGCGGCAGAAGCAGCCCGCATTGGCCAACCGTAAAGTCCCCCTCCTCTTGCACGACAACGCCCGCCCTCACACTGCAAAGATGACTACCCAGAAGCTCAAGGAGTTGGGCTATGAGACACTCCCCCACCCGCCATATTCACCCCCACCGATTACCACTTCTTCAGGTCCCTAGACGATTTCTTGCGGGAGAAGCGCTTCACCAAACAGGGTGAAGTCGAAAAGGAGTTCAATGATTTCGTCGCGTCCAGAGACCCCGAATTATTCAAGTCCGGCATAAAAAAAACTGGTTGAACGTTGGGAAAAGGTTATTGAATCGGATGGTTTTTACTTCAATGAATAAAGTTGATTCTGTGACGAGATATGGACTTCCAAAGTTGCGGTAAAAAAACCGACAATACTTTTTCCACAACCTGATATATGGAACACGAACATACTTAATGCCGTATTCAACCATAGAGCTACGTCCACGTCGAATTTAATTACATAGCTTTCCATGATTTCAGACGATATTTGGACCAACATACCCTGCAAAAACCGACTTCATCTACAGTATATTAAGAATGGACTTTAATGAATGAAAACTTTTTTTTTTTGCCCGGCTCAAATATTAGATCTGCCATCATGCAAAAATTTACCCACTCAATCCAGTCGTTTGATTATTTTTATATCCATACAAACATCCAAATTTTCCGCTTTCGCTTAGATGTCACGTAGGAGGAAGACATTGTACTTCATTAGCTGCTAAGTATTGATATTTCAAAGTTAACTACGCTGAAAATCATTTTTGATTCAGTAAAAAAAAATGGGGGGGGGGGGGACGAGGACGATGAGTACAAAAATATACTACATATAAAATATGCAACTACCACGTTTCAAAGGGCAGTACGAGTGAATGAGTGAATTCTAAGCGCAGGTGTGGAATATCGTGTTGTGTTTGAACAGAGACGTTCAGTCCATGGAAGCTGGTGGGGCCCGTGATCGTGGGTTGTGCCATCGTCGTTGCACTCCTCTCCATCGAAGTGTGCATGGATGTCTCGCGGATCAAGGAGAAGACCATCGACGACGAAGAGGAATTTTTTCACTACATCTACGCCGCCATGCTCGCTCATAACAGCTACGTTGACTCAGGGGACCCCGGGTGGGTGTCCCGCAGGGCGTCCAAGCTCGGTCCTTCCCTCGCCCCGAGCATCGTCAATCTCCGCCCTTCTCCTGCCCCCAGCATCGTTAATCTCCACGAGGTGAAGCCTGCCCCTGCGGATCCAGAGCCGTCGTCGCCTCAATTAGTACCACCGTCACCACTAGCGCCCTTCACCATATCGAGCCCAGAGAATGACGTTTTGGTTTCCCCGTATAGGTTACCCCAGGTCCAGATCACGCCGGCTCCTTCCGAATTGGTGAGTACTCCCCAACTCTCACAAAGGTTTTACGGTACCGGAAAAATTAGCATGGATGATAATAAATTCACAGTATTCATGATTATTTTCACATGTGGCAGATTCCCAAATACGTCGAAGGATTCCTGCAGCGAATATTGCATGGTGATTTGACTTCAATGTGACACATTACTCATGAATATACTTAGAGTCTTTCCTCGCTCTTTCTTGACTTTTGCTAACATTACCAGGAAATGCCTAATGCATTTTTCCGGTACTGTAAGTCCTCTAGAGCTCCCTCTCCCCCTGCCAGACAGAAAACCCAAGGCACTGTAATTTGAGAATAAAAGAGCCTTCATTAGGCTATCCTACCCACCCTATTCACCGTTGGTACGTAATGAGTTTTCATTCCTCAAAAATTGGGGGCCATTTATGTTTCAATAGTTGACGAATAAAGTGAAAGTAAACCCAGGATAATAATAAAAAATCCTCCATTACGGATTCAGGAAGCCCTAGACGAGTTAGGATTATTCTCAGATGCATCTCAAAGCTGCATTCCCTTGCTAAATTCTCCATATATTTCATGATCAGTTAATTGAGTGAAAAACCAAAAATATATAGCCTTTTGTCGACTAGCATCTTCAACAAGCTCAAAACCCCATATATAATTACATTACTAATAGATACTGTTTGTCTAAGGGCTACAGAAAGATAGATGATGGAAGTCATACAGAAAAGTTCTTTCTCATTTTGCAGAGTATCCGGGATGAAGAATATGAGGAGATCCTATTATCGATGATGGAGAAAAAGCTGAAAACTTGAACTTGGCTCTGAGAAATGAAAAGTGTGAAAGCCAAGTTAATTTGCACGCTGCTCCTGAAGAGATACTGATGCCACTATCTACGCAGATAAGGTGCAAAGGGGTTGATTATAAATTGATGCCACCGTTATGCAAATACACAAAAAGGAGGTTGATAAATGCCTCATAATTTATTCGACATTGAGATCAGTCACAAAATACTGTATTTCGATGGATTTGAGAATAAATAATGATGGCTTATACTATTGCAGTAGTACAGTGATTCTCCAATGATATCATCAGTCCCAAGTTGACTTAGAGCTATTATACATGTTTAGGAAGACACTATTAGAAATCCAAGAGCTTGGCATCTTCACCATCCTCCTGGGAGTTCCCTGAGAATGTATCCAATGGATCTGCCAGGGGCATAGAGAAAGGATCATTTGTTGCTTGTACAGTGGCTACTACATCAATGCCAAGGGGGACATTCAATTCATTTTCTTCCCATTCATCTTCATCATCCTCTTCAGGATTTTCCATATCTTTGAATTCTTTCACCTGGAAGAGACCATAACAATATTTTAACAACCTATTCTGATTGTAATACCATATCTACTCCACCCTTAAGAACAAGAAGCTGATAATCAAGTAACAACATGCCTGTGAGGTCATAGAGGTCAAGGATGCATATTGAAATGCATTTTCAGTCAGATCCATTTCAACAGGGAAAAATTTTTGGTCCTTGAGGAGTTTTACATTTTCTGCATAATACTTCTCAAAACCAGCCAATAGCTTCTGCAACTGTAGATAGGTAGGAAAAACACATTGATAAATGGCATCACACTCAGTAAAGTCATGCAGAACTCTCCCATCTTGACACCACCTCTTAAAAACAAATCCAAGTATAAAAATAGGCAGTCTGTCTCTTACTTGGGCAACACAGTGCTGCACATGTTTCTGATCTAGGAGCTCCAGCTTTACCATCACATCAGCTCGAATTTTTCCAAACCTCCTCCGAGCATCTTGGCGACAACGCAGCACCAAACTATGAATAAAATAAAATTCAATAAGAGTATGCTGATACTTTGTACCCAGACATTAATAATGAAGATTAATAGATTGCATTACACACCGATATTCATAGTTTCCTGTTTCAACACGATAGAGGGGTTCATGAAGCTGAGCAGCACACACTTCCTCATCATCCATCTCTTTCACTTTCAGACAGTAAGAGAGATATTCAAACTTAACATCTGCATATTTCTTGATAGTCTGCTTGGTGTCTGGAATAGCCTTGTTCAGGTATGTTCCCAAATCTTTCAGCATCTGAGTTTAAATCAATAGGATGAAAGCACTTGTCATGGCAGCTAGATGAGCAAAACTAATGAGGTCACACCACTCACTGGTCGCACAGCTACGATAAAATCAAAGGCATTCTTCTCTAGCTGACGATGAATATTTCCAAATTTTGTGAATACATCACTGGCTCGTGGCTGTGGTTCCCTCACTCCAATCGAAGCAAAAGTGTCTCCAAAATCTAACAAAACCCATGACACCATTAACATTATCAATTGTGGAAACAGGATTATGGATATATGCTGATGCACCTTTCTGGATGTGAGCTACTCGGTAAATGGACTTCAGGACATTCTTGGTATGTTCAACTAGTCCTCTGTAGAAATCCTCTGTTCGCTCAAGATGCTCCAAACGTCTTACAAGACCATCATTGCAAAGAATTGCTCGACTGAGTCCCAGAGTATCAGCTGTTGAACTGCTGATGTGCTCCACCAGTCTATGCTTCACCTTCTTCAGGACTAGAGTGAAAAAGCACTAAAGGGCTATTCATACATGAAGGAAGAAGTGCTACCTCAAAACTATAATTAAACCCATGGGATACTGGACCTTTTTTGTAGTACACCTAATTCTAGTAAACAAGGTAAACAATAATGACAAAATCATTGCTTCATGCAGATTAGTTAACATTCATGCATGCAATATATTCTTTGTGAAAAGAAACATTCCTTGAGTGTAAGAAAGTGTTAGTAGAGAGAGGGACATACTGATGTCAAGTGTTTTCCCCTGCTTTGGTTCAGCATGCAGCTTGTTGTATTTGATCATGACCTCTCCCTGGGGAGATGCACAACCCAGCATAATTAAGGGTAAAAACAGATCACCATTCACAATGATTTCATTGGGTTGGGCTTGGCCATAGATAGCATGCATCAACAATTCTCAACAACATCTTGTCTTAGTGAATGATCCAAACAACTTGGTAAGTAAAGTTATGAACTCTTAATAGGAAAACCAGGGACTAGAAATATTAGGTTGTTCAGAAAGTATTGTTATTTTTATCGTACCAGTTTTCAAATACAACTTTTTATTCAAAATTTCAGCAGTCTAATCAACAATGCAATTTTCATCACTTGTGACTGTTTCCCATCTCCCTTTCAGCTTTTTTATTCTTCTTTCATAAAAATTGGCCTGTTTTAAAGCAATGAATGTGGTGAGATCAGATTCGAGAGCCTCCTTTTTTGTTGCAGTTTCCAATTTAAAATGGCTTTGAAGTGACCAAAACAAGTGATAGAAGGTGCAAGGTCTGGTGAATAAGGTGGATACAGCAGAACTTCCCATTGAAGCTCAATTATTATTTTTTTGACAATTTTTGAGACACGAGGTCAAATGTTGTGGTGCAGGAGGATGACACCTTTTCAATTGACCATAGTCTGTCGCTTTTGAACCAGGGTTTGTTGCAGGCAGTCCAGTTGTTGAACATAAAGATTGGCTGTTATCATTTGACTTGATGGGAGCAGCTCAAAGCCAGACTGCACTCAAAGAAGATCGTGTTGTGTGTTTGGCAGGATATGAAGGGCATTACCCACTTTGAGCTCCTCCTATCGAATCAAATGATAACAGCTGATCTTTATGTTTAACAACTGGACTGCCTGTAACAATCCCTGCTTCAAAAGCAGCCCAATTTGGTCAATTGAAAAGGTGTCATCCTCCTGCACTTTGACCTCATGTCTCAAAAACTGTCACAAAAAAAATAATTGAACTTCAATGGGAAGTTCTGCTGTATCCACCTTATTCACCAGACCTTGCACCTTCTGACTATCACTTGTTTCAGTCACTTCAAAGTCATTTAAATGAGAAACAGTACAACAAAAAGGAGGCTCTTGAATCTGATCTCACTATGTTCTTTCTTCAAAACAGGTCAATTTTTTATGAAATAAGAATAAAAAAAGCTGAAAGGGACATGAGAAACAGTCATTGCAAGTGATGAAAATTACATTGTTGATTAGACTGTTGAAATTTTGAATAAAAAGTTGCATTTAAAAACTGATATGATAAAAATGACATTACTTTCTGAATAACCTAATACTAGTTTGAAGCAATATGCACATATGAAGCACATTAGAATAAAGCACCTTAATTGAAGAAGCAATGTCAGCCTACAACTAAAAATTGGTTGATGTACCTCAGATTCTTGTATCAGATGAGCCACATCTGTCTTGTTACCACCTTTAACATTCTTGTTGTTAACTCCAACAATCTCATCTCCACTCTCCAGGGTCCCATCCTTCCCAGCAGGAGTGTCATCAAAGACCTGTAAACAGTTCATTTCAATATAGCATGCAATATACACAGAATTGAGGAGAAGCTTATAGATACAAGATATATGAGATATTAATTTAGGTTTAATTATAATTACATTGAATTTAATGTTCAAATTCTTAACTTCCATTGCAATGCAGTGCCTCACATGACCTTCAAATATTAGGACAATGGTAATAAACATGTTGATGGTGATATAGACTTATGATAAGCTTAGCTAGTGTGCTGAACCAAAGGTCATTATTATAGGGTGTCCCCCTACCTACTGCAGGGACATTTGAAATCTGCCTACGAAGTACACCAAATGCCCACATACATAAGCTAAGCTTATTACCACACTAATCTGTGACATATATCACCAGAGAAATGCAATTCAATCCAAGCAATTGAGCAATCTATAAGATACTGTATTGGAGCATCATTTGGGTTAGCATTCAAGCCATTGACATAAAGTGATTTTGAGTATATACAGCTATATTACTTTTGATATATTGCTTTTGATCCATTTGTTGAAGGGACTTTGGAAGTCTTAGTCAACCTCCTTCATGAGGTGGTCTTAAAACCTCATTAATGCAAAGATGAAATTGCACTTCACTCCAAGTGCAAAACTTCCACTTAGTTTCATGTTTTGCAAAAATTCCAGTTCTCCTATTACAATCAACAAAACTCTCATATTAAGCTGCTTGCTAATGGGAGGGGGGGGGGGGGTTGATTGATATGATTCAAGTTTAAATTGATAAAAACTGATTTAGCCTATCATGCCCTAAGAGAATAAAAAGAGAATAAATATAAACCTGGACAACAAATAGGCACGGACAATGGGGAGCGCCACCCCCAATGCTTATCCCGATGAGATTGTTGGCCCCTTTCTGTAACACCACAGTCCCACTGGTGACTTTCATCCCCCTGAAATGGACAGACAATACAATAACCATTAATGATAGTAATTACACATTCTACACTTAACGTAAGTACGCGAAAGTCGACCCGTGCACGAATTTGGACGGAATTCCGGTTCACTTCACGGACCTCACCATTATAATGACATACTGCCCTCTGTGTCTTCGTCTTCGAATCCATGTTTTAAGCGAACCTTAAAATGTGTCTCACAGAGAATGCATCGTTGTTAATCCATATAGTCAACCGGAAACGAGCTCCTTAAATTACATCATTCTTACTTTAAGTGAGGTACGCTGAGATCATGGTTACAAATGTCCCTGGTATATATTATGTTGTGGTACTTACTGGTGCCTCTAAGCGTTGATGGTCGTAAATATAGTGTTCTAAGGTAACTGAAGAGTATGCTGTAAGAAATGGTTACATCATTATGTTCTTGGAATTCGATATTTTAGAGGGTCGGTTTTCTGGACCGAATCGCGGTGAGGGTCTCTGAAAGTCGATCCCTAGTCGTAGGCATAGGCAAGTGAAGCACACGCCTAAGGTCGGGAATTCTGCATTCATATGTACAACGCCACTTCTCTAGTTGTGCTAACCGTACATGTACCTTTCCATGGTCAGCCTAAGATCTATATCAAAGGCCATGGATATTCTAATCAAGTTTGACTGTCAAGCAATATCTAGTTAGTCCCCTCTTTGAACCTCCCTCCTGGAGGTACCTCCTGGAGACAATTATGCTGGGAATATGCAGTCTGTCCAAAATCGGTCGTTCCTGGCTCTGCAAGCCAACACGGCAAGTGGCGTGCGCGTATAGAGGCTTGCTAAGACCTTCGCGCCGGGTGGTGGATGCTTAGTGAGGCTAGGAAGCACGATCACAGGCCCGACTTTGAGGAACCGCAGGGTCGGCTTTCGCGCCGTTGGTTCGATTCATGCGTCCAAATATATTATTGTATTTCAATGCTTCTTGCGATATCATTACTAATGATGCAAAGGCTTTCAAGCTGATATTGTAGATCACAATCCAACTTTTACAGATAAACACACTCACGACCCTGCGTGAAGCATTCGTTCAGTATGGAGCCTCTCTTGTGCAGCACGTCACTGTACTAAGGAAATGGGCTCGACTTTCGCGTAATTACTATACTTCATATGCACATGTATTCTAAGCAGAAACTGATATGAACTCACATGAAAGGAGAACCACCCTCACAAACATGTGAGTCAGGCATACAACTTCATGGCAAGCATGCATGACAATAACAGTAAGAAAGAAGGCTCAGAGGCTCAAACATTTCCCCAAATGGTAATCATTCATGAAGGCAAGCTTACTGAGATATAAAAGGCTACAATCAGTCTTCAAAGTTGGGGGGAGGGAGGGGGATGAAGGGAATTATATCCAATTAGAAAGGAGAGGGCACAGGGAAGCACTAGTAAAGCAAGCCAGGATCCAACTAGTCACATATGCAACTCAAGTTTCCTCCAAGGCATGTCAGTCTAATGTAACATTTAGCCTATTTTGGCATTGAATAATTGTAGGATGATGAGCCACTTTGATCATGACAAAAAATATTAATAAATGAATTAAATAAATTTCTGTACACTGTGTAGATTTTTTATTTTTTATTTTCTGAGAAGCTCCAGAAACAAGTGGCTCTCAACACATAAGATACTGATATGACCCTCATGGGCTTTCCTTCAGCTGAATAAAAGTTGCCCTAACTTCCTTAACCCTTTTGCAGCCAAATTTGACCATTTTAACTGTGCCTCATACCCTTTTATTGCAATGTTCAACAATAGTCTTTCCCAGACCATTCCTTTTCCCATATCTTCAAATGAATTTTTTCTGATTCAAAATAATTCCAAAGCAAATCTCCCAAAGCATTCCACCCCAGAGGAAAAGTGAAGCAGCAAAGTTATGAATTACTCCCATAAAAGAGACACAAAGAAGACAAGAATTCTGCATTTGGTTTCCAATACAAAAATATTTCCAAGGATATAAATGGCATGAACATGAGGCTAATGCAGCTAGAGCAAAAGCAGAAATGCAGAAAGCTTTATATGCTCATGTAAAATTTCCTGCAGCATGTTCTTGAAGGGACTTAAGATTTATGTCACATAAGAGGTGGAAATAGGCATTCATATTGTGATAACTGAAATGAAATCTATTTGGAACAATCTCTGACTGGGGCATTTCCTAGCTTCTGATCTCAATTAAGTTGAAAATACTGAGCACATTTCATGATAACCCATAGAGCTCATGTCTTGCTTACTCCAACAAACCTAACCAGATTAGGATCTCAAGAAGCAATTATTGCAAACACATACTATCGTCCAAACGAAACATTACAAATAATTTAGAGCTTGCTCATTGTAGTAGGAGTTGTAATAGCAGTATATCTGCACTTTGCAGAAAAAGGTCCCCACCAGTTGAACATTATAAGCATGTTCTCACTAACCTTTGAGCACTGTGCATGTGCCATGTCAAGAAAATGCCTATTTAGGTTTTCTCCATGCCATATAAGTAAAATTCAGATTTCCATGGACGAAATATGGCCTGATTCCACCGTAGATGTTATACCATCTCCAAAAAAACGTAATATATATGCCAAGGTTAATGCAGCAACAAAGGGATGGGGGACAAAAATGCTCCAAGAAGGTGTTTAGGAAAAGTTCCAATTGGTATAGCCCAAATAGGGTTACTGTATTAGGCCTAGACTACAACACAAGCATGACACTAGCATAGAATTGTGCAAATAAAGGAGTGTTCTTCATCCCAAATGTTCAGACGATGAAATAAATGACTTTATCATTACTGCATGCTTACATTCGATCTTCAAAACGTGGGATAAGTCTGAGGTCATCATCAAGGTTGCAAGACATGATGCTTCAACACAGAGTCACAAAGAACTTCAATGAATGCAACAGGAGGATGAGGGGAGGATTCTCTATAGACCAACAAGGCCTACACCAAGGTGTGCAGTGCTACACCAAATGCACCATTCCTGAAAACATAATTTGAAATTATCTTGTCATGCATGAACCAAATCCAACTGAAGATTGAAAGGTTCAATCAACAAGAACTGAAGATTAGAATGTTCATTCAGCATGCTCCTGTACACCAAAAATGGAAACATGATTTAGACCTTGAGCAAGATAATGGCCCACATGCACAACAATAGCTTTCTAATTGCTGGAGACAAGGGTAGATGCTAGACATGAGAAGTATAGGGTTAGAATAGGGTTCAATTTTGTAGGCACAAAGAAAAATAAGTTCAACCTCTAGGCTTTCCAGTAATATATTTGCTTCCAGGTCTTCCCAAATATGTGCATGTTAAAGAGGCAGCCTACTCAGGTAATATGCAAGTGTTTGCTCTTGGCTTGACATTCTAGTAACAGCTAGAGTGCCAAGGAGAATAATTGGCAGTGGACTAGTAAAATCATGACCCCCCACATAAATATTTAGGCCTTTTTTAAATTAAACCTGTCCTTTCCCAGTCCCTATATTTCCCTAACCAAGAGACTACTTTTAATCAAGGCAGTTTCCATTTCTCAATATGGACTTAAATTTCATTATATGAAATAGGGCTGTGCAGATGCCAATCTTGGAAAAAATGGGAGGGTGACCAGTTATAACTAGGGCTGTCACGATAGCAGTTTTCGAAACATCGATGCATCGACCTGAACTCTCGATGGATGAAGCATCGGATGGGGGGGGGGGGGGCGGAGGATTCAATCTTTTCTCGCCGCGTTCGCGCGGAGGTTTGTCTTCCATCGTGTCTTGCCTCGATCAGAGCGCAGACCTCTATCCGTCTTCCATAATCTCACGCTTGTGATCGGGGTGTCCGGGGGGAAAGTGTGACCTTCGCAGGGAGTAATAAAACCTACCATGCCTCCAACTATCGAAGATGACCTCCATTCATCGATGGATGCACCAGGACAGCCCTAATGTTTTCTTATTGCCGTTGAGAATCAACCCGTTCACGTAACTTTTTTTCTCTCTTTTTCTTCTTTCTATACGGTCTTCTTTGGAAATTGGCACCAGTAGATAGCAAATCTGCCTATGGTGCCATACCGGCTGTTGCCGAAACATCGGTACAGCCCCAGAATAAGCAACTTCCATGTAGGAAATTCACTTTGAGTTTGGGTTCGGGTAAAGAGGTAAAATGCCCCAGGGCAAGTTAAAAATTAAAAAACGTAAGCCTGCACACAAAAAAGAAAGACAGACATATGGAGGGGGATTAACCAATTTATGTTTCGAAATCACGAGTATAAGAAAAGTTCAATTTGGAGCAAGTACCTGATGAGATGGAGCCGAAGACTGAAACTGATGATAAAGAATATTCTCGGTCTTTCCTCCCTCTCCTTTCCCACTTCCTGTCTTCGATCCAACATGCTTTTTTTTTTTACCCTTCCCTTCTTTCTTACAGTCAGTAAGAGCATTTCCAGAATTTGATCGTGACAGAAATTACAGACCCGTGTGAGTCACGCTGTCACCTCCTTTCCCTGCCCGGACAGATTGTATTGTATTGTACTCGCCTCGATCCGATTGGACAATTTCCCTTTAAAATCATTTGCCGATGCATCGCGATGGTTGAAAAAACAATCGATACCTCCAACCATCGATAGTGGTATCGATGCATCGATCTATCGTGACAGCCCTAGTTATAGCCTCTCATACACATGGACTAGTAATAGTGGCAAGCCAATTATAGCAGATATAGTTGAAAAAAGTCAACATATTATTATTTGATAATCTTCACCATGTTTTCAAATTTTTCTGAGGGCATAAAAAATTTACCACATTGAATATCTACACTATATCTTGCATGATTGATTCATAAGCTTGTAAAATACAAATATATTTGTCAAAGGGATGCAAGAAACTTGGCCAGAAAGATTAAATCACAGGTCTAAGGCTTCATTTATTCTTGGAAAAGTGAAGGGGACTTCAGTAAAATGCCCAATATGATAATTTGAATTAATGCAGATCAGTTACAGGGATCAATTTATGCATCAGTTCATATATTATATGTATTTAATTGCTAGGAAGAGTTTACAACTAAAAGTTCCAGCATTTTCTTCGAAAAGATAAGAGAAATTCATTGCCATGCATGATGATCAGGTCTTCAACATTAAGAAAGATTTATTTATGCTGTGTACTCATTCAATTTTTTTCCAGTACTGAGATGCATTCAAATTTGATAGTCTCTCCTTTTTTTTCTATCATCATTCTTCTGGTGCCTCTGCTCCACACTTTAAGGGGCAGGTGAGTGAACTCAGGAAGCATATCCCTGGAGTGACTGCACAGGCCAACTTGAGTCTCCTAAAGTAACTCATGTTAACTGGCCTAACAAGTGGTGGGTGGAGGTTTGGATGGGAGAGTGGGTTTGCTGGTGTTCCACTAGAAACACCAGTTAGCTATGTTTTTGAATGGTGAAAACTGACCAATGGTATTAATGAGCCAATACTAGGGGCCAAATCAATGTACAGTCCAACTACAAAGTCAATATACCTTTCATAAGTACTCCTTGCTTTATTAAATTTATAAAATCAACTCACCACCACAAGGCATCTCTCCATTCAAGATGACAAGGAGTTAATATAAATAGTGTATTTCAACAGTTATTTCATCAAAACCAAAAAAGCCATGGTCTTTGACAGAATTGAAATCATTGAGCAGGCAAACAGTGCAACCTCAAAGCAAGACCTTAACTCACATCTTGTCTTCTTCATAGAGCAAATCTTCATCATCAAAAAGTGACATTGTAGATCTCAAAAAGCAAAGTATCTGCAAGGACATACATACACACATACATTTATAATAAATAAAACAGCATTATTATAGTACTTACCTACATAATAATCTCAAAAGTTTGTCAGGCTTACGAAATTATTATATCTAGGTTGTACATGACATAGACATCATAGATACAGTAGGGCTATTGTAGTGCTTTGCAAGTTCGGCTCAACCCTCCATCATCTGAAGTCAACAGTTTTTTTTAAGGCAATAGAATGGTGAAATTCAAATCTTTCTATGTTTGTGATTTAATGCCACAACTTTGTCAATTTTGAAGCCAGGGGTCTTCATTCCTACACCATTATATTTGTAATGAAATAGACTGTAGGGAATTTAGATAATTCACCTGTGGTTTGTGCAATCCAGTTCTAAACATTTAAATTTACATTTTTATTGAATTCAATCACTTCAAAATTTTAAAGTTAAAGAAATATTCCATATATCAAGATTTCCTCCAGGAAAATCTTTACAATACACTGAAAAACATGTGCTAAAAGTGTCATCCATCAAGCATTAATGGGTCAAATGATATGGCACTGACTGTAATTCGATTGTATCCACAAAAGTAATAAAATTCATGCATGTTGGTTATTAATAAAATGTTAAAAATAACAAGTAAAGAAGTTGCGAACAATTCATGGCAAATTCAATAGGCCACAGACTTTTTAAAATTATATGGATATGTTAATTGAATATTTTTAAATGTCACATGTACCAGTGACAAAAGCCAGAGGTACAAGTGGTGGTATGACTATTAGCTGTTAAAAATCAGATGCTTAAGGTAGCTAAAGATGTTAATAGTTAAACCAAAGCCTTCCAAGAAGAGTATAATACACTGGGCATCAATTGAAGAAGATATTTCATATTCTTTCAACTAAAAGTATCTTGGATACATTTTTTGTTGTGAAATCACTGACAGGCAATTCATTTCAACTTATTACTCACAATTCTACAATTTGTAAATTAAGAACATTTCTTCTGTTTTGACACATTTCAATTACAGGTAACAACAAAATAAAAATACAACCAAAAATAAAAAATATGCACATCAATTGACACACAGTGTACATAGTAGCTTATGAATCTCTGATGTCCTTTACCCTCCTCATCCCAGAGCATCTGTTTAATAGCCCTCTTAGCTGCTTCTAAAAGACAACTAAATGCTACTATTCCATCATCCAACTATCAGCTGTCATCCCGTATTTCATTTTGATGTAATACTAGTGTAGTGCAGTGTAATACTTTTGACTGTTCTGATCACATCCCAACTTGAAGTTGCAAAGACTGAAACCAAAAAATTTCCTTTTATCTTTCAGATGTTACTTACGTGACATGAATCTAGTTTTGTAGGACATATCATTATAAAGGGTATAACAAAAAAACTAAAATGAGTGATTTTATGATTTTTTAAATCCTAAATTGCTTCACAAAATCTGTTTTTTATGTGTGGCTTAGTGGACTATAGTTGAAAATGTTAATCATGAAAAAAAAAACCCACAGAGTTGGAGGATGGTTTCACTGGACTCTTCAATGACACAATGCTACTTTCTAAGCAATCTCATGAAACAGCACAAATGATGCATTAACTGAGAAGGAAGCCATTTGAACCAAGTCATTCATTATTCTAATAAACAATGAAGTCATTAATAAGAATACATATCAATAGCTTGTTATTCCATGCCTCTCATCTGCACTTCATAGCAGAATAGCATGATAACTGTCTCATACGACAGACGGGCATGTCACTACACGTTCTGTTCCATGCCAAGGGTAAACTAAAAACATTCAGTGTGGCACACTGACGTATCATGTAGCACCAGAGGAAAGTATTGGCAAAAGTACCTTGGTGGTCAAAGCATAAATATGAATAAAATGGTGCAATATATACTTATAGCTATATATCCTATGAATTTGTCCTGGCTAATGGTATCCCTATGGACAACTGCTCTCTTGCAGGAAAAAAGTACCAGTATTAGTACCACAGTGACAGAGGGCAATAATGCATGGAACAGCAACAACTTTGCAAGAAAATACTTCTGGAGGTGTAATTGTAATAATGGTGTTAAATTATTTCATATTTTCATGTCATGCATGCATGTATTGCCGTCACATTTCTTTATTTCTTCATTGGAATGTCAAAATTAGGTTTGACCAGAGAAGCAAGCTTAGACTTGCTTCCCTATAGAAAGAGGTCTTGTTTTCACATGAAGCACAAGATTTTGCTAGAAATTTATTTCTTCCACAGGAGGACTTACAGAACAAGAACTAGGATTTCATTAAAAAATTGCTGATCCCCAGGCATGTCCAGGCCTTATATCAGATATTTCATTTTCCTGATAACATGTGGCATCAGGAAATAAGTGTCCCACTATATATTCTAGGGCTGTAGAATAGACTAATTAATCTACCAATTAGTTTATTAAAGTATTAATCGCAATTTTAAAAATTAGTCAAAATTAATCTAATTTTAATCAGCCCCCTAACCTCCCCCTGAATGCCTCTTTTTCCTATTATAGTTTTCCTGTGCAGTTCATAGTTTTGCAAAACAATTGAAAATGAATGCTTTATCAAGGAAATGAAATGTAATGATGGCTTATAGAAGGTAGTCGTTTTTGCACCATTCACTCTTCCACAAAGCAACATTCTATTTTTGGAAAAGGGGAACACAAAAACAAAGCCATCCCTATCAGACTATTCCAAAAATAGCCTCCTGACCCCTTTGTACCCACAAGTGTACTGGTAGCATCCCATGTCCTTCTGCCTAGCCTACGGCCTTTAAAGGCATAACCTTGCAGGCCATGTGCATCGGGGTAAGGTAACAGCGGCCTAGGGCAGAGCGACCAAAAAGTCCCTGGATGCGAATGGGGAAAAGAAAGTGCAATGAAGAAGCAGCAAGGGAAAGCCCAGAAGGAAGAGGGGAGTTGGGCTGGGACATGGGACAGGAGAGACAGGAAAGAGGTTAATGTGAAGACTGGGGAATGAGAGACATACGTGTAAGTGTACCAACAAACATGTGGGAACCCCAGAAAGTAACCGAGAGGGGGAAAGCCGGGGCAAGCGAGAGTAGTGGAAACGAAAATGTGAAACCCTCTGCTATTCCTTGTTTGCTTCTATTCTTGTTCTTCCATCCTGTGTTGCCTGTAAATCGTTAATGAATCTTAACCCTTTCGCACTCAGCCTATTTTCCAAGTACCTGATCTAAAACACTCTCTGGTCCGGAACTACATCACATACGTACCTTTTGCTGTTAGCACCTGTGTTTAGGGAAGCATTTTGAGCCATTTATGTAACTAAACAACAAAAACAACCTTTGAGCCATTTATGTAACTAAAAGGAGCATGATTTAGACAGAGCCGATGGATCAGCGCACTGAGCGTATAAGGGTAATGAAGTGTCATTGTATACCTCCAATAATTTAGGTTGCATTTTTGCATTCTTCCTTAATGGGTTGGCTAAATGGCAAAGGGCCTCAGAATGCTTCTTTGCTTACGCTTCATTATTTATTTGGCTAAGTTGTAACTATTTCTTTCCAACTGGAATATATCACTTGTAGGATGAACTAGTGTATACATATGGATAGTATTAAGAAGTGACTCAAGGCGACGCAGGCACTAACATAGCAGGTATTAAGGCTCGCTTAGGTGTTGGGCATGACACAAGCAGAATTATTTCAAACGCCTAGGACATGATTCAAGGAGGAACCATGGGACCTATTAAAATTTGATTAATCGATTAAATTACTCACAATTAATCGATTTAAAAATGTAATCAATTGACAGCTTTAATATATTCCTTATTGCACAAAAACACCATCTCCTATATGCCTAATGATAGGCCATGCCTGGGCCTACCAGTGCTCTTTAAAGAGATCAGCACCATGGCTTTTGCTGAGGTGTGCAACTTGGAGACCATAGCAAGTTGTCCTGATGTTTGGCTGCATTAATGGTCTATTCGCTGAGTGCATTAAGTAGGTAACATCTACCTGGAGGGTTGTCAAGCATGCAAGCTTCAATGCTTTTCTTATGGAAATATACAGTCAGAGACTGTTTTTACTACAAAAATGCTTATCTTCCTCTGGCAGAAGAATTTCCTCAGGCTAAGAATGATTACGATGTAAGTAATCAATGGTCTGAAGTTTCTATTTCAAACATCCTGGTGGTCTGAAAGTCTTATCATGATGTTACTATCAGTCTGGGCCTTTGCTTAACATGGGCCTATGAAAAGGAAACTTGATATTTGCTGTCGCAGGATAAATAGTCAACATTAACCCTTGACATGAAAAGTTGTATCATGAGGTACCAATCAAAATGGGTTACTGTCATGAGTTCTGATTTAGTGCATGAAGCATAACTGATGAAAAAGCTAGAAGCACTTGGGAGAATACAGAAGCGATAGGAGTCAAAACTTCATCATGTATCACACAGTTTCCTATTGTAATAAATTCTATAAGAAACTGCAATATATTAGAAAAATCCCATTCATATCATGCAAATGTACATCACTAGGGTTGCCACCCATTCATAATTAGTATGGGCAGTTCATATTTCAGGCACAATGTCTATACTGCAAACTTATCTTAATATGGACACTACTTCATCTATATTTTAAACTTAAGATTTTTTTGTTAATAAAACTTAGTAGCAGCTAAAACCACTCTTTTCATCAAGCCAGAGTAGTATGCCACACTCTTGTAGTATTAATTGGTACTTTGACCAAAGGTGGCTGTATGTATTAGCAGAAGAGTCACAAATGCAAGCATACTTCATATATTTTTCCATATATCCAGAGACCATATTTTACTCATTTCAAAGATGACAACCCTATACATCACTGAGGGCCATGACTCCATGGAAACCCTTGCATTGGTGTGTGGCTTTGAGGAAAAGTGCCACCTCCTTTGAAGGAGATATTTGATGAATGACATGGATGTAACCTGTTACCATGCATAAGGTATCAAGAGCTACAAAACTTTAGGAGTTTTCCAGCTTTTCAACTCT